TAAACAGTTAAATTCCAAGAAGAAGCCTCCTGTCTTCGGCCACGTCACGACCCCGTGACAATATAAGAGACATGGCGCTCTTTGGCCACTCATGGTCCTTGCGCCATCAAACCCTACTAATCATCAAAATCATCAACACTTACAGTCATGGCTTCGAGTGGCCCTAACTAATACCCCTGTCATGTGGTAAACCTAATGCCATTTACAACGAATGATATTAAGTGGACATAATGTCATTTTACCCGCGTGCTGTCACACGATGAAAACAAGTGTCCTTTTGAAATGATGACCCAGAGCCATGGCTTTTGTGAGAATAAAAATAGACTTGCACGGCAACATGCGTGTATCTACAAAATAATTTTTGTGGTTAAAAAGGTGCTCCTAAAATATAAACACAGGTGTTTTACACAACTTGCCACTGCTGCTCGACACACTCGAAAACCAACATGACCGACGACATGCTTGACCAGGCGTGAGCACAGTCAGCCGAAGCGGGGTGCGCGACTGGCTTCCCGAATGCATAAATGAGACGGCGGTAGCTATAGTGTCTAGTCACCAGTTCGGTCACCACAACACGTGCAATCAAATGATCAACATTTGCGGTACAGGCTACAGCAACAACAACGGAGCAAAAATCGAACATGGTCGGCATCCAGCCACTATAGTTAAGAGTAGCTTTTTTTTTTTTAGAAACTTTCCCACATGCTATTCACCAAACCAGTAATAAGCTGATCTAGTAAAGAACAAGATATTTACAAATGATAAAAGTTACGTGTACCTGTGTTAACAGTCATCCCTCTAAATGTCACTGGCATGGAGACTACCCATTAGGTCCAAAATCGAATGTGAATGTTTTTAGGGAACTCACTCGACAGAAAATGGCATTTTCATCAAACCACATAAGTTTCCCTGTGTGACAGCAAACATAATGTGCATTTAAACCTGGGAGTGTTATACCTCTGTCACATGGCATTATGTTTGCTGTGTGACAGGGGTATAACACTCCCAGGTTTAAATGCACATATTTACATAGACGTGCTCAAGGGGGAGGGGGAGTGCAAGTCATCGTCACAAATCGACATTACAGGGAGGGGTTTAAGTTAACAAAAAAGCAACTGTGAAGACAGCCGGCAAATAGCGACTTTTGCTGATTTTTTAAAGAACATTGTGCACATTTCTTGAAACACCCTGTAACCTGATGCAGTGGAGGACAACCGCAGCTGTAGAAAACAGAACTGTGTACACCACTTGTATTTGCTATTTGTATCGACTACGGGTTAAGAAAGAGCTCTGGAAACTCCTGCATAACAAATTTGACTTCACTTAGCTAGCGATGAGAGGGAATGTACAGGAATTCAGAGTTTTGGTTCATAATAGATCTATGGCTCTAAACTAGGTAACCGGCATTAGCGTTGACACAATGAACCATAATCTTACTAATAGTATCTTCAAAGAGTGTGCAATGGAAGTTGGAGGAACAGTCACCAGACAGGACACCGGCAAACTATCCCAGGAGACAAAAAAAATTTCATTAAGAGATGACAAACCATAAAAGCCTCAAATGTAATCGACAAAATAGAACTAGTGGAGCTTTCGAAGCTAATCAATAGGCGCAAGGTTGCCGACATCAGAAGGTATAACATGGAGAGAATAGAGCAGGCTGTAAAAAGTGGCAGAAGCATAAAAGATGTGAACGCAAATTTGTGCATAGGCGAAAATCGAATTTATGCATTAAAGTATGAGGAAGGCAATGTCGTATGGATAGGATAGTAGAGGTGCCGGAGGAGTTCTGCAGAGAGCTGCAGAGGAGCCGAAACAACCAGGATCATATCGTAAGAAGCAATAATACACCAGAGAAATTCAACATCCTACCAGTAATCACAAGGGAAGTAAGGAAAGCCCTAGAATAAATGCTAAAAGGTAAAGCCGCTGTAGAGGATAAGGTAACAACGGGCCTTTTTAAATATGACGGAGAAATTGTGTTAGAAAAACTGGCCATTTTATATATGAAGGGTCTTTTAATGGGAAGGATACCAGAATCTTCGAAGAACGCCAACATCATCTCAACTCATATGAAAGAAGATGTCAAGGACTTGAAAAATTACAGGCCGATAAGCTTACTGTTCAATATCTATAAACTATTTACAAGAATAATAGTTCATAGAATTAGGGTGACATTAGAGTTCAATTACCCAAAGGACCAAGCAGGATTTCATACAGGCTGCTCCACAATCGACCATATTCATACTATCAATCAGGTAATAGAGAAATGCACAGAATACAACGAACCCCTATACATAGCCTTTATAGATTATGAGAAGGCATTTGACTCAGTCAGGACATCAGCAGTAATGCAGGCACTACAGTATCAGAGCAGTGAAGAACCCTAGAAAAATATACTGGAAGAAATCGACAGTAGATCCACAGCCATCATAGTTCTTCATAAATAAAGCGACAGAATCCCAATAAAGAAGGGTGTAAGGCAGGGAGACGTGATCTCTCTGATGCTATTCACCGCGTGTTTACAGGAGGTTTTCACGACCCTAGATTGGGAAGAGTTAGGTATAAGAGTTGATAGAGAGTATCTTAGAAACTTGCGATTCGCTGATGACATTGCCTTGATGAGTAACTCAGGGGATGAATTACAGTTCATGATTACTGAATGGGACATGGAAAGGAGAAGAGTAGGTTTGAAAATTAGTATGCATAAAAAAGTAAAGTAATGTGCAACTGTCTCTACAGAAAAGAGTGCTTTGTGATAGCTCGAGAGAGGCTGGATAGACACTGGAACCGTGGAGCCGAACTATGAGAGTGAAACAACTAGAAGAATAAGGATGGGGTGGATCACATTCAGCATGCATTCTCTAATCATGAATGGTAATCTGCCACTAACCCTCAAGAGGCAGGTATGTAACAGCTGCATCTTGACAATACTTACCTAGGGAGCAGGAAACTGGAGGCTTACAAAGAGGGCTCAGCTTAAGTGGAGGACGGCGCAGCGAGCGATGGAAAGGAAAATGATAGGTATAACCAGAAGAGACAAGAAGAGAGCGGAGTAGGTCAGGGAACAAAGAGGGCTCAAGAATATCGTAGTTGAAATCAAGAAGAAGAAATGGACATGGGCAGAGCATGCAGCACGTAGGCAGAAGAACCGCTGGTCAATAAGGGTAACTCAGTGGATTCTCAGAGAAGGCAAAGGCACGGAGGGGAGACAGAAAGCTAGGTGGGCTTGATGAGATTAAAGGGTTCGCAGGTATAACGTGGCAGCAGAAAGCACAAGACCATGTTGACTGGCGGATCATGGGAGGGGCCTTTGCCCTGCAGTAGGCGTAGTCAGGCTGACGATGATAAACTTCATATGGCAGTGTACTGTAGCATATGATCACTGAACTGAAGGAACTACCATATTTGGTGAATCATGCCATCTGCCACTTCGTTTGACCCATGTCAAAAACATAATATTGCTTTGCTCAGTGTGGATATAACCAAAACGAATTCGCATTATATTTCTGGGCTGAGATTTTATTCGATATATGCAAGAACAGAGCAAGAATGGCTTGAGGGTAATTAGATATTTATTATGAAGCGATTAGGAATAATTACTATTACACTCATAAATTAACATACTACGACATTTTTTTTGTTGCAGTAAATGGAGTGCATCGAAATAACATTGTATCGATTCGATGCATTTACAGGCAGTTCTTCATAGGTAGCGTCTGGAAGGGTTAACTGATAGAGCGTGCGCTGATGTGTTATTTGAGATTTTCAGGTTCGGGTCCTGCCAGTGGCAAGTTGTCTTTTCACCCACATTAATTTCTTTAAGTCATAATTACTGTGCTCCAATTCAAGGACTACAAATGACGTTCCCTGTATTTTTCTTGGAAATTATTTATTTGATAAATGTTGGTGCCTTTATGTCAGCACTCCTCCTCGCTTAGCACATGCAAAAATTAGGGGACCCTAAAGCTTCGCCTTTAGGAGTTGAACATGATAGCGACATCCTGTTCGTAGTGTGTACTTCAAACACTTAGTAGTGCATGAAACCTGTTCGAACTTGCTGTGCACTCACTACTTGGCATTAAGAGAATAGGCACAGTAGCGTGTGTGCCCTTCATAGTGGGGTACCGGCTTTCAGCTACGGAGCCATTATGATAATCACATAGGCAATCTGACACCCGTTGGCAATGAATGCTTGACCACACATTATTACTGCAAGAATTCATGCTGCATTGTGAAGCATATATATACAGAACACATGTGTTTGTGAAGCATGAAAGCTACTTTCACTGCATTTCCAAGCAGAGGAAGTTCTTTGCACTATTCTCACTAGCAGAGGCGTGGCCGTATAGCAGAACATTCGCTTGCCATGCAAACCACACAGGTGCGGTCCCCACTCGCACCTCAACGACCCTGGTTCGGTCCCCACTATGTTCCAGGTTTTTTTTTATTCACTTATTTATTTTATTTGCATCTTTTTCGGTTTTCCGGCCACGCATAAATAAGATGATGATTTTTCAGTCACAACCAATGACTCCGAGACCAGAACCGACACTGGACTTTTTCAAAACAAGCTCTTTAACGATATCAGGTTAATATGCAATTGGGAGAAAATACTACCTAATAGGGGCACAAAATGTTATACAGTACTACACAAGATGTGCAAATGTAGTACAATTGAACAGGACACAAGTCACAAGTAGTCAAGCACAAAGTAAAACAGGTTCGTTTATTCACACTCAGTCAAATGTTTCCAGTGGTTTGTCACACAGAGGCAAAGCATATAAACTACAAATAGTTACACATAAGATATGGCACTTGATCACGACATTATGCAATGGTGAACATATACCAATACTAATGTAATGTGTCTGCTTTCAATATGAACTGTACATAAATGTTCCTGTAAACTGTTAGGTTTCAGTTGAGTATATAAAGCCGTCTAAGAGGTGACGTTTTGTGTTTCCTGTTGCATTTTTAAGTGCTTTCTTTTTTTACAGGTTTATGGAAGCATGCAACCTTCATGGGCTAGAAGGCCATAAACGAGACCACGAGGAAACTGACAACGAATGTCATCCCCAAGCTGCCATCGAAATCATCTCTGAAGATGACCGCCTCCTCACTCGAAATGGAGGTTGGCTCATAATTTTCAATGCATTGCTGTTTTGAAGTGCAAGAGTTTTTTTTTTTTTTTTACGTATCTGAATGGCATCTATGAAAGAAGAAAATGACTGAAATGTCGTTGAAGTTGAATCCCAATTGAATGGGACCGACAACTGCCCAGATCATGAAATGAGATGATTCCACGGATGGAAAGATTGTTGCTCTTAGTGACTCAAACCAACCCTATTTTTCTTGTAAGAAGTGGAGTTATATTTTTATTTCTTCATTGAAGATAGTGAAAATAGCTTGTGGAGCCACCTGGTGGCACAAACTTTCATTATCCAAGCTGCCCTGTCACGTGACTAAACTGGTGTATGTGGTCAACGATTTTCCTGTTAGTATTGAAATGTTGTCCCCGCAGGGGCGCCTGCGCAAGTAGGCGTTTGGTGTGTAGCGACACCATGGACCCGAGCTAACGGGGGAGTTTTGACTCCCTCCCACGCCTAGCCGTGCGTGGCTTTGCCGTGTCCGGGGAAAAGGGGATCCTGGGGTTTAAGCTGACGCTGGGTGATTGGACCTTTAAGGCCCCCCCCCGGCTGAGGCAACACACCCCTTTGGCCCTGGCTTCACGTAGACGGCACCCCTGGGCTGACCCACCCAGGGGAAATTGGCAGTGGCCTCTTCCTGTCTCCTTCTCTCTCTCTATCTTCGTCTTTTCTACTACTTTTGATCTTTCCTGTCCTCTCCTCACTTCTTTTTACTTCCACAATTCTCAGTGGCAAGGGTTAACCTGGTGTAGATATCTAACCTTGGATAGATATATTAGGTTATAGCGGCCATGTACGGCTGGCGCTTCCGTCTCCTCCGCGTCTAGCAGCGTCCCCTTTTTGGGCTCGGTGGTGGGTGGCTGGCATGGCCGCCGAATAAGCTACCGAATTCATGGGAACTCCTAGCCCTCTCACAACCAATCGCCCCTCCAAGAGGTGGCACGCCGATGCAATTTTCAAATTTCTTCCAAACAAGAAAGATAACTTCCCGAAATACCACATCATCCACTGTGAAAGTACAGAAAAGAAAGCTAGAAGCATTTGACCTTTCCATGTGTCCAAACATCTTATAGAGATGCTAGGCGCAGGCTACAAAGCCACAAAGACCGCCAGTGGTTACCTGCTACTCGAAATAAAAGACCACGCACAGTACCAGAGACTGCATAAACTTACATCATTTGGGAATCAGCCTATCACAATCACACCGCATCGAACCATGAACACCGTGAAGGGTGTTGTATCAGATGGAGACCTGATGGACCTCTCTGATGATGAACTTCTAACAGGCTAGAAAGAAGAAAATGTCATTCAGGTGCAGCATATCAAAATACGAAGAGAAAATAAAGAAACCCCAACGAAACACATCATACTCACTTTCGCATCTAGCACTCTCCCCACTGAAATAGCAACAGGATATCTTAAACTGCCAGTCAAACCATACATACCCAACCCGCGGCGCTGCTTTAAGTGTCAGAGGTTCGGGCACGGCTCCCAGAGCTGTCGAGGACAGCTTACCTGCGCGAAACGCGGCACCAAAGGTCATATTGCTGACGATGACTGTCAGCTACAAGTCCACTGCGCAAACTGTGAGGGTGACCATCCTGCATATTCCAGGTCATGCGTGGCCTGGAAAAGGGAAACAGAAATTATAATTACAAAGTTTAAATTGTACATAAGCTATCGTGAAGCGCGGCAGCGCATTTCTCCGCATTTTGCTGGGAACACATCGTATGCCGAAGTGGTGCGAGGGGGGTCAGCACCACTTCGGTTTTCGCCAATGCCTTGGACCACGCCCAGCGTGCCAAGGCAAACGCCACAAGCCTCCATGGGGGGAAGGGGGGGGGGGCAGGCAGGCGAGGCTGCTCCCCCCATGAATACAGCCCCACCCTCCTTGAATACAGCCCCACCGAAGGCCCCTGTGAACCCTGGCAACAGCCAGGGCACCACACAAACTAAAGAGGTCCCCTCGACCTCGAGCCCGGTGGGGTCGAAGGCTCCGTCTGTCACGACGAAGCCTACAACGAAAACAACATTGTCTGTCGTCTCTCCTGAGGCAATGGACACATCAACTTCACCGGCGCAGACTGCGCCAAAGGAGCGGCAGGGTTCTCTCGACCACTCTAAAAAAGACAAAACGGTAATTACAGGGCCTTCTAAAGGCTCTGTAAGATAAGCTACTTTTCTTTTTGGACACCAGCCACAATCATTTCGTACACACAGCACCTCTTTACTCCCATAATGGAGACACAAATTATACATTGGAATGTCAGAGGACTACTTCGAAACCTCGACGATGTCCAAGAACTTCTACACAAACATTCTCCAAAAGTGCTGTGTGTACAGGAAACACACCTAAAATCTAAGAATACAAATTTTTTTGCGTCAATATGTTGTCTTCCGAAAGGACAGAGCTGTGGCGTCATCTGGTGGTGTAGCCATTATTGTTAATCGAGGAGTAGCATGTAGTCATGTACAACTACTAACATCCCTAGAGGCAGTGGCTGTTCGAGCAGTTCTATTGAATAAGCTCGTCACCATCTGCTCTCTATACATACCGCCGCAACACCGCCTGGAAAAACATGATTTCCAGTCTTTAATCAATGAGTTACCAGAACCTTATCTGGTTCTAGGGGACCTGAATGCGCACAGCGGTTTATGGGGTGACTGTCGATGTGATGCACGAGGTCGTCTCATCGAACAGTTCCTCTTTTCATCAGGTGCTTGTCTGTTGAATAAGAAAGAGGCAACATATTATAACCTTCCAAACAAAACTTACTCCTCCATAGACCTCAGTATTGCATCTCCTTCACTTCTACCCCTACTCCGATGGAAAATTATAAATAATCCCTACGGAAGTGACCATTTTCCTGTCATTCTGAGTACACCAACATCATACCAATGTCCTTCACAAGTTCCCAAATGGCTGACATACAAAGCCGACTGGGAACAGTTTTATAACACTATTCATTTAAGTTGGACAGACATATGTAGGTTAAGCATAGATGAAGCTGTGGAGTACTTCACAGCTTTCCTTATTGACGCAGCAGCCAAGTGCATCCCGCAAACATTTGGACTGCCTGGCAAGCGACGCATCCCATGGTCGAACAGCGAGTGTCGTAATGCGCGAAAGGAGCAGAACAAGGCATGGAGGTTATTTTGTAATTCATCGACAACCGAAAATCCTGACAGCTTTTAGAAAATAAAATCTCAAGGCAGGAGAACACGCAGGCAAGCCAGAAGAGAAAGCTGGCACAAGTTTTTATCAGGGATCAATTCATATACACAAGAGGCTAAAGTCTGGAACATGGTTCGTAGGGTAGCAGGAGGACAAGTACACTCACTCCCACTCGTAAACACACAGGATGACAGCCTGGAAGATCAGGTGAACTTCCTCGGTGCACACTATGAGCAGGTGTCTAGCTCATCACACTATACTCAAGCTTTTCAAAGATATAAAACAAGGATAGAAAAGCAGAAACTAGAACACAAGTGTACAAACTACGAGGCATACAACCAGCCTTTCAACTTAGCTGAGCTACAAACCTCACTAAACTCCTGCAGTAATTCTGCCCCAGGCTACGATCGTGTCGTGTATGAATTGTTGGAAAACCTGCCGCTCGAAACGCGAAAAACATTACTCTCCTTATACAATGCTATCTGGTTTTCTGGCTTCATCCCTGCTTCCTGGAAAGAGGCTATAATTATTCCGATTTTAAAAGAGGGCAAGGACCCTTCCTCAGTTTCAAGTTATAGGCCCATTGCACTTACAAGCTGTCTTTGTAAACTTTTTGAAAAGATCATAAACCGCCGACTTTTACATTTCCTGGAAAGACACAGTCTGCTCGACCGATTCCAGTGTGGATTTCGAGAGGGTAGATCCACCACCGACCATCTGGTGCGTATCGAGGCACAGATCCGAGACGCTTTTGCCCACAAACAATACTTCCTCTCTGTGTTCCTCGATATTGAGAAGGCTTACGACACAACATGGCATTTTAGCATATTAAGAGACTTGTCTCACCTGGGTGTGCGCGGTAGAATGTTTTCCATAATCGAGAGTTACTTGTCCAACATTCCGTGTCCGTGTAGGCAGTGTTCTCTCCCAAACATTTGTCCAGGAGACGGGAGTACCGCAAGGTGGTGTATTCAGTTGTACACTTTTTATTATCAAAATGAATTCCTTGCACCTGTCCATCCCACGCAATATGTTCTATTGTACATATGTCGACGACGTTCAGCTTGGCTTCAAGTCATGCAACTTGGCAATATGTGAGCGGCAGGTTCAGCTGGGTTTAAACAAGGTCTCCAAATGGGCAGATTAAAACGGATTTCGACTTAATCCACAAAAAAGCGCGTGTTTTTTGTTCTCTCGAAAGAGAGGCATGCACTCGGAACCTGACATTCGACTGAACGGGCAACGTCTGTCTGTCAAAGCCGAGCATAAATTCTTAGGCTTAACCTTGGACAACAAGTTGACCTTCGTACCACACATGAAGTATTTAAAAACAAAATGTTTAAAAGCCATGAATGTTATAAAAGTGTTGTCACGTACTACGTGGGGTAGTGATAGGCAATGTCTCATGAACATGTATAGAAGCCTCATTCGCACCCGCTTAGATTATGGCGCTGTTGTTTATCAGTCTGCGGCTCAAAGTGCTTTGAAGATGCTGAATCTCGTGCACCATTTGGGCATCCGCCTTTCTACGGGTGCTTTTCGCACCAGCCCTGTAGGAAGCCTTTACGTTGAGTCAAATGAATGGTCGCTTCGTCTACAAAGAACTTACATGTCCTTTGTATATTTTCTTAAGGTGAAAGCAGACAAGAAGCACCACTCATACTCTACTATTAATGATTTGTCGAGCTCCATTCTGTTTCAAAACAGGCCTTCGATGAGGCAGCCCTTCTCAGTTCGCTTGAAGTATCTAGCTGAAGAAACTGGAGTATCACTTGAACACAGTTTAATGGCTCCTGTAGCATACCCGCC